AAAGGATCAACCTGCTGAAACCAAGGAAGCTATTGAGAAGTAAGCCTTTTACTCCTTACATAGTTCATCCTGTTGTAGCTAAAGCTTGTTATGATTTTAATCACAATTAATGTTGTTATGTTCAAGATACAAGACTTGGCTTTATTTACTAGCTGACTAGGAAGACAAATTCTGAAAATGGAGAATCTGAACCGTCTTGTGCCTCGTGAAGCTGTTTAATCCTCATTTCTTAACTGCTGCGTTAGTTTTAATGTTACTGCATGATTTCATTATGCTAGTGGTCGTCATCTTTCCCCAAAAAAGAAGAAAGAAAAGCAAATAAAAAAGCCATTTGATGCTAATTTTTGTCTCTTTGGTTATCGTTTTCCAAAATGCATATTCATGTACTCTTGTGCAATTGTACATTATGCTGTACGAACCGCTTTGAACATCAGTATGAACTATGGGCATATGTATAAGATTGTGAACCCACTTTCATTAGATCTTAAATTCAGAAGATGTTGACCATAAGTATGAACTGTTGCAGGCCTAAAACAGTTGCAATATCAGCTGCATTGGTGAAGCAACTTAGGGAGGAAACAGGTGCTGGCATGATGGACTGCAAAAAAGCTCTTGCAGAAAGTGGTGGTGACCTTGAGAAGGCTCAGGAGTACCTCCGCAAGAAGGGCCTATCATCTGCTGACAAAAAATCCTCCCGACTAGCTGCCGAAGGTCGGATTTCATCCTACATCCATGACTCCCGCATCGGCACACTCATCGAAGTCAACTGTGAAACTGATTTTGTGGGGCGGAGCGAAAAGTTCAAGGAATTGGTTGATGACCTTGCTATGCAGGTAGTGGCCTGCCCACAGGTTGAGTTCGTCTCCATCGAGGACATCCCAGAGAGTATTGTCACAAAGGAAAAAGATATAGAAATGCAGAGAGAGGATCTCAAGTCGAAACCCGATCAAATAAAGGAGAAGATTGTTGAAGGAAGGATCACAAAGAGGCTAGGAGAGCTTGCTCTTCTGGAGCAACCCTTCATCAAAGATGATAGCATTAAGGTGAAGGATCTGGTGAAGCAGACAGTTGCTGCCCTCGGAGAGAACATCAAAGTTAGGAGGTTTGTTCGCTTCACTCTTGGGGAGAGCTAAGGACTGAAAAGTGAGGTTGGCAACCATTCAAAGTCTTGGAAGAGTTGAGATAATTTTTTAACACGAATGTGACTCACGATTTGTAAGGTTCTGCTGCTGTATTTAATTTTGTTGTATCATCTTTTAATCAACAAAGTAGTGAATTTTCGCCTTGATGACAGAATTCTGGAATGAAAGTTGCATGGCCGTGATGATGTCATGTTGTTTATGTTGCAGATTCTTGTGCTTGAGTAGTGTTGCAGTGAGAGAAATGATCTCGGTGTAGTGTAAAACAAATGTATTCATTAAACCCTGATAATCTAAATGACAAAAGAGAAACTTTAATTTCATCAAGATTTATAATCTAAAATGATCAAGTCAATCTTCTTCAAATTCCCATTTAAGCAGTAAATAGATCAACACTCAGTATTGTGGGAACAGTCAAACCAACATAGGTAATAGACTCGATCAGGTAGCGTGGATCCTGCTATGGATCTATCGACAAAAGCCAATCCGAAAAAGATGATCACTATGTTTCCGGACATCTACATTTACATTTCTACATTGCTATCTAGACATCTACATTTACATTTCTACATTGCTATCTATGATTTCAGAGGCCGTCTTCTAAATTTTATTTCGGTAGAGCCGGCAGTGACGGCTCGGTTCTTCTTCAGCCACTCCAGCAGACAACCTCCATGGAACACGAACATCTCCAGGCACAGAAGGTGCTCGACAGCAGCACGGGCAGCACCTCCGCCGGAAGCACCCGCTGTCGAAAACTTTTTAGCACCCCGACACTATAGTTCACGGCTTATAATGCCATATACATACATATTACTTGAATGGGTTGAAGTACTACAATGTCTATCATCTTCTACAAATCTCCAAAGAAAACCAACATGCAAATTGACTAAAGACAACGTTTGAAATCCAGAATGCATCATCCAATTACACAGCAAATAAAAAGCCCTCTTAGCATAACTCAGATGGTGGAACAGCGCACAACTAAGCAGTGGCAGTTGCGCCAGCGGCAGCCAAGCGCTTTCTTGCCTCCTCGATGATGCTGAGCTTGATACCCTTGCCCTTGGGAAGAGACACCCATGGCTTCGTCCCCTTGCCGATGGTGAAGACATTGCCCATGCGAGTTGCAAACTCGTGGCCGGTGGCATCTTGGACATGGATGGTCTCGAAGCTGCCCTTGTGCTTCTCCCTGTTCTTGATAACACCAACTCGGCCAGTGTTCCTCCCGCCGGTCACCATCACAACGTTTCCGACATCAAACTTGATGAAGTCTACGATCTTGTTGGCCTCCAAGTCGAGCTTGATGGTGTCATTGGCCTTGATAAGAGGGTCCGGGTAGCGAATGGTTCGACCATCATATGTGTTCAGGTAGGGGATGCCCTTCTGGCCAAACCGGACAGAGCGAACCTTGCACAGCTTGAACTAATAGGCCAAAAAGGAAATCACACAGTTGAAACATTTGAAGATCCAATATTCATTGACATCCACATATGAGTCTCTATAAAACTATGATTCTAATGGCGATAGCAATTTGATCAATAAAATCACATATAATAGCATATGCGAACACAGACATCCACAATCTTCACTAAATATGTTAGGAGACGTGTGAAAAAAATTAATAAGCACAATAAAAGTCATGATTGATCCTAGACATGCAGCTTTCTTCTCCAGCAGACACCAAAGGAGAGCTACAAATTCACATTTTTTTTATGATAAAAAAGTTCACCGATATTTGTAAAGATGTAAAGCACAATGTCTACATACCTTTGCCTCTTCATCTCTTACTGAATGGAGACGGAAGCGTCCCTTGGTGTCATAAAGAAGACGAAAGTTCTCATTTGTCTTAGGAATTGAAACAACATCTGCAGATAGCAGACCATATAAAAAATCAAATTTACTCTACAAAATATATATAATGAAAGATGTACATCATAAATGAGAGGTAGCTACATATAACCAAAATGCTCTAGCCATTTTAACAATTGTGATATAGAATACAACTGCGACCAAAAAAGAATAGTTAAGCATGTTCCATCAGAAGAAGATTTTAATTGCATACCCATGAAACCAGCAGGGTACGTCTTGTCGGTCCTGACTTTTCCATCCACCATTACATGGCGTTGCATAAGAATAGCAATGACTTCGCGGTATGTGAGAGCATACTTCAATTTGTTTCTTAGAATAAGAATCAAGGGCAAGCATTCTCTAGCTTTATGAGGGCCAGATGATGGCTTTGGAGCCTAGTATGTGACCAAATTTAGTTAGTAATGCAGGCATACAAGCGAAACAAGGTGCGAAAAGAGTCACTGAAGGAAGATTTCAACTTACGAAAGCTCCGCCGAGCTTGTCCAGCATCCAGTGCTTCGGGGCATTAAGCCTCTTCAGATGTTTCTTCAATCCCCTCGCCTGAAGTGCATCAAAGAAAACAAGATGTCAAGCAAACAACATGAGCGAAACCTCATATATGCCTGGGCTAATCCAGAACAGATTGTGCATCACGATCTCCAATAATTCTTGACAATTATATGCCTAAAAACACTTGGTCTCACGGAGCGACCACAATTACAACACAACATCTTGATAATACAAAGACAAAGCACAACTCCACATCCCTTCTATTTAGATATAGCACCTTACAAGCTTCCAGCCATCAAAACAAGATTCAATCTGTCAGATCTAACCAAATAATGGAAGAAGAAAAACTCAAACACCACCCAGGATTCAGCTATTCACCAAGTTTCAAGACATCAGAACGCTAACAGAATGGTTCGAGGGTTCCAGGTCAAGAAAACAACATAGAAACTAATCTCCCAAGAAACATAAACAAAGATGATGCACCATAAATGAATCATTTAAAAGAAAGGAGAGTACAGAAGTATCTCACGCAAATACATTTCCTAAATCATCCATATATCCATCCCATTGAGAGTCCGGACACAAGGACATCTAAACTCAGTGTGATCGACATCCCCATCATCAAAGATCGGATCTTTTCCCAGAAAAGGATTTGATTTAACGTGTAAAAGTACCCAAACAACAACGAAGAATATAATGTCAAACAAGTACTCAGACAACAGCACGCAGATCGAGTAACGAAAACGATGAGAACAGAGCAAGACTAAACGTGGAGATATCAAACTCGGAATAGGACGAACCATTTTCCCGGAACTCGGCCTCCTCTCCGCCGCCTCTCAAGGAACCGCCGCAGACAAACAAACCCTATCGCTTCTTAAGAAGAGATGGTTGTTCAATGACCGTAATACCCTCCGATTGGGTTCTTTACGGTCCGATCGGATCCTGTTAAAAGACCGAACCCAGCAATCGTCCGTTGGGCCGTAGATGATTTGGATGTCATGCGTGTCATACCCGTGAAGTCCGTTCTTGTTTCGTTAGTGTAAGATACGACCGCCTGCGACCATCCCCGACTTACGGTACAACTAGCAACGCAACTAAACATTATTCTACTGGTGTGGATGCCGAACCAACCAATCATGATTGAAGCCGCGTCTTAAGTCGCAAACCATAGCAATCCCCAAATATATATCGTTTAGTGGTTTTATTTGTTCTTAAGAATATGGATTTTAGGTTCGAAGAAACAATGCTTTATGGCGTCAGAAAAGAATCGAGTTCACACTGCTATGATCATATTTGATTCGATAATTTTTATTTGAAAAATAATTTAATGCAATTGGAAGAACATCAATCTTCATAATTTTGTTGCTAGCAAGAATACTGAAAAAAAAGGTAAAAGAGAAGCGGATTCGGATGCCGGGAAAAACGGTTCGGGTTTGCTTTCGCCAACGACTAAAATCCAATCCCCAAAATGGTGTAAGTTGATGCATCAGAGAACACAGCTGCAGCTTAGAAAGAAGCGTCATTGCTTAATATCACAGAGAAATAAAGCAGACTGTCACAGTAATCCAAACAGATCAAATGGGTTTAAAATGCCCAAACTGCACGAAATCATAGAGCACAAAAGGGTCCACATAAAAGCGAAGTGGCTTAGTAGCAGTCATTAACTTGACATAAAATATATTAATTCCTTAAACCAGGAATTCCAATTGATCATGGCTTCAACAATCAATTTCTATTGTTGCTTGACTTCAACTTTCTTCTTCTGCCAGAGCCGATCCAAAGCACCATCAGCATCACCCTGCACAGGCGGTGCCACAAAATAAGCACACAAGTAGAGGCGTTGACTGTTCATAAGCACGAGCTATCGACAAATCGACTGAAATAATGAAGACTGCACACAGATGAGTTATTTCTGAAAGATACTGTACTCATACAAGAATTATTGATCCCGTGAACAAATTTGTTCCACAACATCAAAAATAAACAAAACTAAGATTAACTCATAAAAGATCTAATAAGTATACTACTATTTGAACAAGTGATTTAGATCAAACGAAATTAATGAATCAATTAACCTATTAGGCCTAGGCTGTGACATTTAATATTAGAACCAACATAATATTTGACATGATGAGGAGGCTCAAGTAGAAAAGGATTATCTATGGATGAAATCAAAAGACTGTCATGAGAGCCACCACTAAGCTACGCCTCACATATACCATGTTAGAATTTAATCTGAGCTATACTAAGCTTTAACAAGCTTTACAAGGACATCGGGCTCTTGAATAGGAGAAATTATAACATCCTGATTAATCCCACAACGAAAGTGGACAAGACTAAGAGTGCCTCATTAAAGTCTGATAAGTGTATTACTATTAACTTCGGTCTAAGTATTTGACCAATGGTTTAGATCAAACGAAGTTGATGAACCAGTTAGCTTATCAAGCCCACGTTGTGACATAAAGCACAAATAACAACAATCATGTGAATCTCAGCTATCTGGTCATGTAGTTACAAATTTGGATGCAGTATTAACATGAAGTGCAACACTTTGACAAGGCCTAATAAAGAAAATTACAAGAAAGCAACATATCAGAAACTCAATAAAAAATATCTTATTTATTATGTATTATTTGGTTTATTATCACCACCCTAACAAGAAGAACTGCACCAACTCAAGATGTCAAAGATTAAAAACAAAGCAGAGAATAATAGAATGACAGACATTTTTTATATGCAACCATGGGTAGGGCAAAGAAGGATAAATGAATGACAAGCCTTGTTATGGTCAAGTTACAAGCACAAACCATAAAATTTACTTGATTGAAGCTAAAAAGCCTCAAACCAACATTTTCTTCCCAAGTTCCCTTTGACTATACTTTTACTTGTAGTCTTCTACTCTTGTAGATATCAGGACAAGTGCTGTTGAACCATTTATACATGATATCTTTGCATCAACCCTAAAGCATCCTAACTACTTGGTAACTCAAGCATGCAGGTAATTTGGAAGTGTATAGGGTATCAGGTATATGGGAATCAGTATTGCCTATTCTTTCTTGCCCTCATAACACAGATGAGAATGGAATAGGCTCTCAAAGTAAAAAACATCTGAGGTGCAATGTGTTTAGGGTTTAGTCTTTTGTGTCATGTAGATTGGCACTAATTTGTTTTTCATAACCTGCATGTTACTTGAGACCTACATCAGCATAGCTAAGCTGATCCTTCAGGATAGATATTGAACTCAAAAGGATCCCATTGTGCAAATGAAATATTCGATTTTCACATAATCAAGTGGCTACTAAGTAATGCAACATAAAAAATGACATTTATTTTTAACAAATAAATGACACTGAATACCAGAAATTGGCAATTAGGACAAACCTCAGGATCAAATATTTGCAATCAAAAGTGCAACATAGCATTTCAAACAGTTCTATTATCATAATGAGATGGTTTGTTTTTTCACCAAATCCAGATATTTTGCCTTTAGACATTATATATTCATATCACTTGCTAAGTTCAATTAACAGTTGAAAATGACCACATGCACACAAGAGCTCAGTTAATGAGGAAGATATAAAGGGGTAAGAAGCTACATAAAGGGAAAAAAAGGAGATTCTTTTCAATGATTTTCCAGAGTATGTATTAGAATTAGACCAGTTCTGACAAAGATAAAATATAACAATTATGCACCAACATCCCTTGTTTTTTAGGTATACTACAAGCTTGTGGGAAAACATAGAACAACATTCAAACCCAAAAAACATTAATAAAAATCCAAATGAGCACAATAATATGCCCATCATTGTGCAGTGCATTTTCATGTTATCCCCTGTCCTTAGTATCTTTCTTGATTTTGTTTTATATATCACTTCATGAAATTCGTACAATTTTCTACACATTCTTGTTTATGTGTGATTGTATGATTTTTCCTTGTTCTATAATCAAAACATGAATCCAACAAAATATTTGAAATGTCCCAAAGACTAGAGATGCTAGTACTAATCCTGAAACCGGTCCTGGTTTCTCGAACTTCATTATACAACTATAAACAAGATTGAATTACAAAACCAGGTGAAAATCCTTTCATCGAGTCAGAAGTAAGATGCTTCAAAACCACAAGCCATCATAATATTAGGCATCATGACAATGTGCACATTATCAAATAAACCTTCAGCAAGCATTAACATTGAAAGAACTACAACGAAGTGAAATTAAACTTATATTTTCTTAGCAAAATAGTAGCACATTGACCACAACATGAAGTACAAATATTTCTAGTAGCATGAACGATTACACTAGTAATTCCAAAGAAAGTAAGAAAGTGAGAACAGACCTGTGCTCGGATGAAGCCAGAAAGTGCAAAAGTGGTGAACTGGCCGGTGTACACACCACTCTCATCCAAATGCCCGATATTGATCTGGACTGACGCATGGTCCTTGGCAGTAATCAGCCTATTCGTAGCAGAACTACAGGAATAATACCAAGGTTGAGCATCCAATGATACTAAATCGTGCTCTATCGAAGAACAGTAGAAGAGATGATATAATCCCACAACGACATATGATTTGTTTACCATTTCCTCGGGATGTAGAGATCCGTCATGTCACCTGCTTCGTTCTGCATTTTGTCAGTGGATTCCCTTGCCGGCAAAATCTCCTGAAGTACAAGGCAAAAACGCATCAACGTACATATCGATGCAAAGAATTCCAACCTATCTGTGCCTTCTACAAGTCAAACCTTCTGATAGCACGCGTAAAAAAGGATAAAAAAATCTAAATTCCAAAACAAATCAGAACGACGATCCTCGAGGGATAACATCAAAATCGCACGGCACCTGCAGATCTTAAACCAAGTTCGACATTTTGGCCCGAAATCAAGGGGAACTGAAGCGTAGTTCTAGGCGTTTGGAGCGTACCTGGGGCGAAAGATGAGACCGAAGCAGAGCGGCGTCGACATCGACCGAAGGGGTTTCAAGCTAATATATAGTCCGCTAGCCCTAGTTTAGTCACGTGCTGTCGCACGTGACACAAACGGGTTCATTGAAAATTTCGAAACCACTGAACAATCGAGCCAATTATGCCGGTTCGTTTTGTAGACCGGTTCAATTTAGTTACAGAGAAGCTCGGGCTTGGCTCGAGTTACAGCGTGACTGAGTTGGGTAAGCCCATATTTGAACTCGCTCGCCAACCGTTCGACGAATTGCCTGGCTGACTCTAAGGCCTCACTCCCACTTTTTGGTTGCAGCCGTCGAAGCGAAACAGCTCGTTGCTGCAGCACCATCAGGTGAACCTCGCATGCGATAGTGGTTTTGCTGCAATCAGAATCTCAGTGGTGTGACCGGCATTTCTCTGTGCCAATGCCAAGCTTTGTCATGGAAACATCACTCATGGATATCTTTTCTTGAATAGGAGCATCATTCCCCGATGACTAGCTACTCTGTGAGTAATTCTCACCCTTTCCTGTTGTCCCATTTCCTACTGAACTATCACACAGATAATATGATACTCGACCATCTTAGACTTGCCATTCAACTCTATAGGGATAGATATGAACTCTCAGTAATGCTGATCACCGTTGGTGAGGATTTGACAACTATTGTCTTCCATTATCTTCGAAGGATCTTTGAACATATGCAAAGCTCCTCTGCTGGATAGATAAGAGAATTAGGGTACTCGGTTTCGCCCATTCTCTTAAGAGTTGAGAAGGCAAAGGTTACTTGACTTCGCCCGCCTCCTCGAGGTTATACTCCATGTATCGAGCTGATTACTGGCCTTCGCCTGCTCTTTGCTCACACTTTCTGAAGTACTTGAAGTGTTTGCACTCCTTGCGTTGAGTTAGCTATTGTGATTCACCTTCTCAATGCATCGAACTTCTGGAATGCAGGAAGTTTTCACCCCAACTTTGAGTAATTCTCTAATAGATTTGGTCGCCTTTGGGATCGTACCGTCTTCTCCATTAACCCTGCAGCCTACTCCCTTGAGTAGCGAAGGTACAACACCGCGTACTGCCTGCTTCGTTCCTTGGTCATGCACTCTTGCCTGACCTGAAGCCCTTCACTTTCGGCTATCTTGATGAGAAACTCATTGACACCGGTCTTACGAAGTTCCTTAGCCTCTGCCCTTCAGCCTTGTCTCGGTACTTGGAGATTGCCTTTGCATGCTCCACCTCCTCGGGTCCTTTCACGACCAAGCGCTCTCCCTCCATGAGAGCAAGGGATCAATGGCTTTCACGGAAGTCCCGCCTCTGCGGTACCATGGCGCTGTCATGCCCATGGCCCTACTATCCGTCGCCTCGCATCTGCGTCCACCTCTGAGTCCACCTCCATTCTAACTGATGCTTGATTTTGGGTAGCTAAGTCCCTCTGGACTCGTCGTTGCTTCCTCGCCCCTTTCGACCCCCTACTTCAACACCTCTATGTTCTC